CAGTTCATGGTTGAGGAGACTAAAGGGCCGAGAGTATTTTGACATCATATCAGAAGATTTGGCATGATTTTGGTCATGGAAAAATGCTTAGGAATATTATTCGGCAAAATCTTGGTTTGTTCCTGTCGTTTTCAGTTACTGCGCTCATTCAACGATTTTGCGGAAGACATAAAACAGGCATCACAAAAAAGATTTCGTTGAGCAAGACTGCACACTTAAACGGCAAAAAACAAAGGAAAGGATTTTTATTGTTTGTAGCATTTAAAGCCATATGTAAATCATTATCTTAGCTAAACCTTTTGTATGTAATTCATATGAATAGCTATGCTCTGACAAAAACCAATAGCCTCTATACGTGAAGAGTGAAAAGTGCATTCATTCACACACTTCATAATTATACCCTCGATTTCAGCCTCTTCTGCTCAATATCAAGAGACCAAACTACGATGGTCTGAGCAAGTAGCTAAGATATCGAGGTGGAAGAGGATCAAGGTATTGTCACAATGTAAAACGGCCAAGGGGCAGACTGCAAACTACAAGACTCGGGTATATAGGAAATTTAGCACAGCCGAGAATGGAATGCACAACAGGACATCGATGTTAATTTTAAAAATCTCCAGATCATATGTTTATTGAAATTTTCCTTCGGTCAAGACCATCATTCCTTGTCTTCAGTTCGGAACGTAAATGGCACAACTGAATGATTTCCCATGCCAATTTTTAACGATTAATGTCGAGCGACATCCTTCGCTAGCTTTCGCAATCGCGGTGTTCGCGCTCAGAGAAAATAGCAAAGTCATTCGGAATATGTCAGTCCGTGAATACTACGGAATCGGGTTCATGACAGGTTCTCACAATGAAGGAATTTACCTTTCTCCGTTTGTTAGGGGTAAATGTTTTCGCTTAATCATTACTTCGACCTCAGGATAAAAGTGCCAATACATGATTTACTAAAGGCTAAAAACATAGAAAAACTGAACAGTAATAAGTTACACTAATATACAAACTAGTATACAAACAAGACGTTGAAACCAAGGGCTTTAAGACAGAGTCACAAAAGGAAAACAAAAGCACTAACGTTCAACAGATTCCAATTCTCAAATCGTCGTACGCCTCATAAAATTCGCGCATTTGAGACTTGGTAAATGCAGAACATTTTCCCAGAAATTTAAAACAGCATACATATTCCTAGAAACACCAAAGTATACTATTAACCTTCCGTCAAATACTAACGATTACTGAAATCTTATCTACTTTCACATACTACTGATTAATTATTATCAGCCGAAGTAGACTTAAAAGACTTTCAACATTCCATGCTAACAAGTCTGTGAAAATACAAGAATACTGAGTAACAGAAGAACAAGCTTTACCATTATGGAGAAAAACTAACGGAAACAATCCTACAAAATATAAGTCTCAGTGCGAAATACTGCAAAAAGCAGTTATCTTATTGCGAGCTTACAGTCTTAATAGCCTTTCAAAAACAAGCAATGTCGAACTTAAAAGACTGAAGCAGAGACACTTCATTTCATTAGAAACAAAAATTTACCGAACAGCACCTACGTATCCTATAGGAGGAATATTACAAT